AACCCTGCAGCCTAAACCCTAAACCCTAGTAATCTCATAGTCTTGCGCTCGATCTTTCGGGGTAACCCAATATGGTGGCATGCAACAGATCTGGGCGCCCTCACATGCTCTATGAAGACTGCATGAAAAATCCTCAACCCTAAGCCCTAAAAGGTTTAGGGTTTAGGGTAGCCCTAAACCCTACAAAGGGTATCAAAAGGGTATCATTGTCAAATGGAATATCGTCCATCGTAGTGTAGGGTTTTATGAGCCCAGTGCACCACTGCCCCAGATGACGATCTAAACCCTAAACCCTAAACCCTAAACCCTAAACCCTAAACCCTAAACCCTAAACCCTAAACCCTAAACCCTAAAGGCATCCAAAAGTGGGGGGCGGGGGGGGGGGCCTCGAGTGCTGGGATCCCAAGAGGCCGGCGGCCCCTTGCCGTCTCCGGAGCCACCTGACGAGGATAGCAGCTCCGAGCCCACTGAGATGCTTGGAGCACAGGGGTTTAGGGTTTAGGGTTTAGGGTGTTAGGGTTTAGCGTTTAGGGTTTAGGGTTGTAGGGTTCAGGGTTTAGGGTTTAGGGTTCAGGGTTTCAGAGTTTTAGGGTTTTGGGTTTAGGGTTCAGGGTTTAGGGTTTAGGGTTTAGAGGTCACCTGGGGATGTTCCCCCTTGTGCTTGCAGTCCTTCCTTAATAGGGATTATGGTACCCCCCCTGATTGTAACCCTTACACTATCCTTACTAAGGCTTGTTCATAGAAGGGGGAACATTCCAAGTGGTACCCTTTTCCCTTTTGATGGTTCAAGGTTCCCTCATTGTAATGTGATTACTGGGCTACCAAGAGGTGGGAAACTCTAATTCTAATCCCGAACTCCTGAAAGTCCCGCAACATAAGCCCTACATAAACCATAGAGGGAAACTGCTTAACATACTTGTTGAGAGGTGCATTTGGGAACCGACTAAAAACAACAATGTCAAGCTTTCGTGGGAAGGGGTCTATTGCGAAGCTACTAAAAACTTTGAATTCCCCATGCACCTTTGCATCTTGTCGTCCAGGGTGGTGGACCCTGAACCCTGAACCCTGAACCCTGAACTCTGAACCCTGAACCCTGAACCCTAAACCCTGAACCCTAAACCCGAAACCCTAAGCCTAAACCCTAAACCCTAAACCCTAAACCCTAAACCCTAAACCCTAAACCCTAAACCCTAAACCCTAAACCCTAAACCCTAAACCCTAAACCCTAAACCCTAAACCCTAAACCCTAAACCCTAAACCCTAACCCTAAACCCTAAACCCTAAGGACGGCGAGCCCCGTCTCCGGCGTAAGTCCTACAACTCCCGCCTCTCGGCTTCCAGGTTTGATGGGGAAACCGGTTGAGGGGTTTAGGGTTCAGGGTTCAGGGTTCAGGGGTTTAGATGGGTTTAGGGTTTAGGGCTTGCGGTTTAGATGGGTTTGCGGGTTTAGAGTTCATAGGGTTCAGGGTAGGATTGGGCTAGCCCGTATCCATCCCCCTCCTCCACCCCCCCCCCCGCTCCCGTTTAGTGCTTTTCGGCTGCATTTGTTGGCCGATGTAGTTGGCCCTAATCCCTTTGACCCTAAACCCCAAGCCCCAAACCCTTGAAGCTACCTATACGTGTAGACACAACACTGCTTACAAACACAGGCTCTCGATACAACCACAACTTTGACAATTAAACTCCCATCCCAAGAGTCCTAACACAGTAAACCCTAAACCCTAAACCCTAAACCCTAAACCCTAAACCCTAAACCCTAAACCCTAAACCCTAAACACCCTCACCACCCAAAACCCAGAACCCCTAAGCTCCCGAAACCCTGAACCCCAAGGTTCCCTGCTTGGAGGCTCAGGATACTTGTACCCACAACTCAACACTACTAACTTATATGGGTTGGTGGTCTCTTTAAGTAGGGTTTCTGTTTTACAGGGGGTTCTTACAAGGGTATCTAGGGGCTATATTGAGGTATAAGGGCAACAGATAAAGAGGCCACCGGCCTTTATAACTACTAACTGATTAAGAACCCCCCCCCAAAAAAATAACATATTCTTCCTTATAAGGGTAGTATGGGGAATATTTGAAGTTATTCTTTTGGGGTTCTTTAAGCAATGAGTAGATCACTGCACTTGTAAGCCCCTTTAAGTCCTCGGAGTCGGTTGTAAAGTAGATGTATAATTGGGGTCATAAGTGCTCATAAGCATCCAAGTAGACCCCATCAACCCTAAAAAACCCTTAAAACCACTAAAAACCCTAAGAACCCTATAAACCCTATAAACCCGAAGCACTAAACCCTAAAGACCCTAAACCTCACTCCAACCGCAAGGTCTCGCAGGACGACGTTCGAAGCCCGCTCCATGCAGGCGCTGGGCGAGTCTGGGCAAGTCGGTTTAGGGTTTAGGGTTTAGGGGGTAGGGTTTAGGGTTTAGGGTTTAGGGTTTAGGGTTTAGGGTTTAGGGTTTAGGGTTTAGGGTTCGTGTTCCTTGGGGGACCGGCTGAACCCTGAAAGGGTTTAGTGTCCAAAACTAGTAGCAGAGGGTATGTATGAACCCTAAACCCAAAGCCCCAAACCCCAACTATAGGCTCCATTCCAAACCCTAAACCCTAAACCCTAAACCCTCAACCCTAAAACTTCCTTCCCAAGCAAGGCAAGCTCAATTTGGGAGGGGTGGGGGGGGGGGGGGGGTACGCAGGGCAACCAAGGAACTCACTCTGAAAGAAGGGTGGCGGGTAGGGTTTAGGGTTTAGGGTTTAGGGTTTAGGGTTTAGGGTTTCGGGTTTAGGGTTTGGGGTGCAGGGTATAAGCTCTTTAAGGTTTAGGGTTTAGGGTCTAAAGGGTAGGGTCGATAAGGTTTAGGGGAGCAATGAACCAGGACATTCCTTCCGCCGGGGAGCAGCTGCATGTGCAGATGGTCGTGATTCAGGCCGGCGGAGTTCCAAAGAGATCGCCTGGGCCGCTTGCAGTTCCTTCTCTTGGGTGATGTAGCGAATCTCTCTCACACACCACTATAACACCCTAAAATGTATTGTGCCATATAACGTCGTGTGACTATGTAGCGTATAGTCTACACTACATATACGTATGTTAACATATAGGGGCCAGTATGCCATACAATATAAAAACAGTATACTATGAGATCATTGAGTTTATTTTCATGTAATGTGTGTGTGTGTGTATATGAGCATCGGACAAAAACCTTTGGAAGAGGTAGCCATGATTAGAGGCGTCATATGGAATTGACAAGTCTGCTCTAGCACGAGAACCGATAGGGGCCGACCCTAAAGCGATGCCCAACTTCTATATAGGTACTTCCCGCAGAGCCGATAGGGGGCCGACCCTCTTCCGCGCGGCAGTCGGGACATAGTAGAGGTTTGGACCGCTACTCGTATATGTATACACACAAAGGAACGATGACTGAATATTCAATACAACCTAGACCCCATCGTTACTTTGTCTGGGTTCCCTGTTTTTGGTTTGTCACCATATATATATATATATATATACATATACTACAGCCGCTCAAACAAGAGCTACACTTAGGCGGTGCGAGTCAGGGGTGTTGGTGTACTCATCGGCTAGAATCCAGAAAGCCTTTTCGTGCCCCCCCCCCAGAGGTACCCGTCCCCTTTAAATGGGTTGGCCCGCTTGTTATCAGCCAACCCCTAGAGCCTAGAAACCCTTCAGCTTCGTCTTCCCCAAAAGGTATGGCTCCTCCATCCCTTTCCGACCCGCGCGCAGCCGAGCCTGCCTCCCTGGGATGTGCGGAGACCGTGGAACCTTCCTGCAGCCCTCCAAACGAGCAGCTTGGAAGACCAAATGAAACCGAAGACCGGGGGTCACCTTTTGCCCTATGCAATGATTATAGGGGTTTAGGGTTTGGGGGTTTGGGGGTTTCTGGACCCTGAACCCTAAAACCCGAATTTTCGACCCTAGAACCTCTAAGCCCTGAACCCTTTAAATTGGGTCCAAGGCAGAAGAGGAGGGGTCCACCGCGCATGCCGGCTACGGCATTTCGGGAAGCGGCGAGCGCCCGCGCAGGCGCAGGCTCAGGGTTTGAGGGTTTAGGGTTGAGGGTTTAGGGTTTAGGGTTATATAGGGTTTGTAGGGTTTAGGGTTCAATTAGGGTTTAGGGGCCAAGTTTTCTTTTCTGTTTTAAGTACTTTCCCTATAGTTACTCAATGGTCAGCTTCTGTCCTGAACCCACCGAGCAAACAGCAGGAAATCTCCTCTGAAAATCCTCAACTGGGGGGTGCCTACGCCCCTCACTTGGCTCAGGTCAAAGCGCGGTCTCAGCCCACGGCGTCGGCAGCATTGAGGCCAGTGGCGGCAGCCAGGCCGCGGCGCCATCGGCAGAGGCAGCGAAACCATGAATAACAGGCATTAATAATGCGGCATTAATGACGTTAAAGATGTGATGAGCAGCTTGTACATACGCCGCATGCGCATGGACACCTTCTAAACCACTTGTGAACGCCAAACGCCCCCCCAAACAGACCGCAAAGTCGTGCCGTCCAAACAGCATCGCTCCGTTCTTCTGGAGGTCCGTCCTGCGTGCGCCTCCGGGCTGGCTGCGGAGGGCAACAACATCAGCAACCGCGCGAGCCCGATTTCGGGCCACTCGCCTCCGCCAAGAGCATCCGATGGATTGGGAAGATTGGGAACCTCAGCCGGCAATAATGTTTAGTCATTGACTCTTATAAACTGCCCATTTGCCCAGTTCGTTTTGAAAGCTTGAGATGAACACGTATACAGCATGGACAAGCAGGGACCCAGGGTACACCGGGGTTCATCATAGGGGTGGTCACATTGGCTTTTGCATGCCAAGCCGGGTCCGAATGTGCAAGGCTTCTTAGATATTAGATTGGAGGGTTTCGTCCCTGGGTTTCAACAGCTCTCAGGAAGTCACCCAGATGTCGGTGAATCGCATGGTCAGCCACTGCCGAATACATCCCTGCTGGAGGGGCCCAATGGCCTAGCAGCCTCAGCAAAAGCTGGTGCTGGCATGTCCGAAGGTCTGGGGCGGTGCAGCACCGACAGCACCGAGCCTTCCTCCTTTGGCTTTGCGGCTGGCGCAGGAACTTCTAGCAGCTCTCCTTGTCCTGGCCACGACCGACATGGTCGAGATGCCAACAATCTCGAGGACGGTGCCCCACTGCGCATCCTGAGTGGAGCGAGCGTGGAGGCAGCAGACTCCCGCGAAGCCGCAGGTCCGGCAGTTCTCAAACTTAACTCCTGACCCTGTTTTGGTAGGGGCCCCCTATTCCTGCGGCCACGTCATGTGCATGGCTGGTGTCCCAGAGACGTGTAGACGGTGTAGATCTTGGCTCAGGTCAAAGCGCTGTTTCAGCCCACGGCGTCGGCAGTCCTGCTCTGGCGGGCGAGATCTCCGCGGAAAAGGCGGCAGGCACCTTCTTGGGCAGCATTGAGGTCAGTGGCGGCAGCAAGGGCCGAACCTCACCGAAGCTCGAGCTGGAGAGGGCCGCGGCGCCATCGGCAGAGGCAGAGAAACCATGAATAATATGCATTACTATACTGGTAACAGCTTGCACATACGCCATGTGCACATGGACGCCTTCAAAAAACCAAAAACCACTTGTAAATACCCACAGCCCTCAGCCAAGCCCACGCAGTTGCGCCGTCCAAAAAGCATCGCTCCGTTCTTCTGGAGGTCCGCCCGGCATGCGCCTCCGAGCCGTCAGTCGGGAAGGCTGCCGAGGGCAGCAACATCAGCAACCGCGCGAGCCCGATTTCGGGCCACTCGCCTCCGCCAAGAGCATCCGATGGATTGGGAAGATTGGGAACCTCAGCCGGCAATAATGTTTAGTCATTGACTCTTATAAACTGCCCATTTGCCCAGTTCGTTTTGAAAGCTTGAGATGAACACGTATACAACATGGACAAGCAGGGACCCAGGGTACACCGGGGTTCATCATAGGGGTGGTCACATTGGCTTTTGCATGCCAAGCCGGGTCCGAATGTGCGAGGCTTCTTAGATATTAGATTGGAGGGTTTCGTCCCCTGGGTTTCAGCAGCTCTCAGGAAGTCGCCCAGATGTCGGTGAATCGCATGGTCAGCCACTGCCGATTACATCCCTGCTGGAGGGGCCCAATGGCCTAGCAGCCTCAGCAAAAGCTGGTGCTGGCATGTCCGAAGGTCTGGGGCGGTGCAGCACCGACAGCACCGAGCCTTCCTCCTTTGGCTTTGCGGCTGGCGCAGGGGCTTCTAGCAGCTCTCCTTGTCCTGGCCACGACCGACATGGTCGAGATGCCAACAATCTCGAGGACGGTGCCCCACTGCGCATCCTGAGTGGAGCGAGCGTGGAGGCAGCAGACTCCCGCGAAGCCGCAGGTCCGGCAGTTCTCAAACTTAACTCCTGACCCTGTTTTGGTAGGGGCCCCCTATTCCTGCGGCCACGTCATGTGCATGGCTGGTGTCCCAGAGACGTGTAGACGGTGTAGATCTTGGCTCAGGTCAAAGCGCTGTTTCAGCCCACGGCGTCGGCAGTCCTGCTCTGGCGGGCGAGATCTCCGCGGAAAAGGCGGCAGGCACCTTCTTGGGCAGCATTGAGGTCAGTGGCGGCAGCAAGGGCCGAACCTCACCGAAGCTCGAGCTGGAGAGGGCCGCGGCGCCATCGGCAGAGGCAGAGAAACCATGAATAATATGCATTACTATACTGGTAACAGCTTGCACATACGCCATGTGCACATGGACGCCTTCAAAAAACCAAAAACCACTTGTAAATACCCACAGCCCTCAGCCAAGCCCACGCAGTTGCGCCGTCCAAAAAGCATCGCTCCGTTCTTCTGGAGGTCCGCCCGGCATGCGCCTCCGAGCCGTCAGTCGGGAAGGCTGCCGAGGGCAGCAACATCAGCAACCGCGCGAGCCCGATTTCGGGCCACTCGCCTCCGCCAAGAGCATCCGATGGATTGGGAAGATTGGGAACCTCAGCCGGCAATAATGTTTAGTCATTGACTCTTATAAACTGCCCATTTGCCCAGTTCGTTTTGAAAGCTTGAGATGAACACGTATACAACATGGACAAGCAGGGACCCAGGGTACACCGGGGTTCATCATAGGGGTGGTCACATTGGCTTTTGCATGCCAAGCCGGGTCCGAATGTGCAAGGCTTCTTAGATATTAGATTGGAGGGTTTCGTCCCTGGGTTTCAACAGCTCTCAGGAAGTCACCCAGATGTCGGTGAATCGCATGGTCAGCCACTGCCGATTACATCCCTGCTGGAGGGGCCCAATGGCCTAGCAGCCTCAGCAAAAGCTGGTGCTGGCATGTCCGAAGGTCTGGGGCGGTGCAGCACCGACAGCACCGAGCCTTCCTCCTTTGGCTTTGCGGCTGGCGCAGGGGCTTCTAGCAGCTCTCCTTGTCCTGGCCACGACCGACATGGTCGAGATGCCAACAATCTCGAGGACGGTGCCCCACTGCGCATCCTGAGTGGAGCGAGCGTGGAGGCAGCAGACTCCCGCGAAGCCGCAGGTCCGGCAGTTCTCAAACTTAACTCCTGACCCTGTTTTGGTAGGGGCCCCCTATTCCTGCGGCCACGTCATGTGCATGGCTGGTGTCCCAGAGACGTGTAGACGGTGTAGATCTTGGCTCAGGTCAAAGCGCTGTTTCAGCCCACGGCGTCGGCAGTCCTGCTCTGGCGGGCGAGATCTCCGCGGAAAAGGCGGCAGGCACCTTCTTGGGCAGCATTGAGGTCAGTGGCGGCAGCAAGGGCCGAACCTCACCGAATCTCGAGCTGGAGAGGGCCGCGGCGCCATCGGCAGAGGCAGAGAAACCATGAATAATATGCATTACTATACTGGTAACAGCTTGTACATACGCCATGTGCACATGGACGCCTTCAAAAAACCAAAAACCACTTGTAAATACCCACAGCCCTCAGCCAAGCCCACGCAGTTGTGCCGTCCAAAAAGCATCGCTCCGTTCTTCTGGAGGTTCGTCCGGCATGCGCCTCCGAGCCGTCAGTCGGGAAGGCTGCCGAGGGCAGCAACATCAGCAACCGCGCGAGCCCGATTTCGGGCCACTCGCCTCCGCCAAGAGCATCCGATGGATTGGGAAGATTGGGAACCTCAGCCGGCAATAATGTTTAGTCATTGACTCTTATAAACTGCCCATTTGCCCAGATCGTTTTGAAAGCTTGAGATGAACACGTATACAACAAGGACAAGCAGGGACCCAGGGTACACCGGGGTTCATCATAGGGGTGGTCACATTGGCTTTTGCATGCCAAGCCGGGTCCGAATGTGCAAGGCTTCTTAGACATTAGATTGGAGGGTTTCGTCCCCTGGGTTTCAGCAGCTCTCAGGAAGTCACCCAGATGTCGGTGAATCGCATGGTCAGCCACTGCCGATTACATCCCTGCTGGAGGGGCCCAATGGCCTAGCAGCCTCAGCAAAAGCTGGTGCTGGCATGTCCGAAGGTCTGGGGCGGTGCAGCACCGACAGCACCGAGCCTTCCTCCTTTGGCTTTGCGGCTGGCGCAGGAACTTCTAGCAGCTCTCCTTGTCCTGGCCACGACCGACATGGTCGAGATGCCAACAATCTCGAGGACGGTGCCCCACTGCGCATCCTGAGTGGAGCGAGCGTGGAGGCAGCAGACTCCCGCGAAGCCGCAGGTCCGGCAGTTCTCAAACTTAACTCCTGACCCTGTTTTGGTAGGGGCCGCCTATTCCTGCGGCCACGTCATGTGCATGGCTGGTGTCCCAGAGACGTGTAGACGGTGTAGATCTTGGCTCAGGTCAAAGCGCTGTTTCAGCCCACGGCGTCGGCAGTCCTGCTCTGGCGGACGAGATCTCCGCGGAAAAGGCGGCAGGCGCCTTCTCAGGGAGCATTGAGGCCAGTGGCGGCAGCCAGGGCCGAACCTCACCGAAGCTCGAGCTGGAGAGGGCCGCGGCGCCATCGGCAGAGGCAGAGCAATCGTGGCAGCAGTTGATGCCTTAAACCCTAAGTCCCCAACATGATGCGCAGCTTACCCATTTTTCGGCTCTTGTGGCGTCAGCACGCCTCTTCGGGTTTGTAGGTTGAACACCCCAAGCCCAAGCCAGCTCAGCCACTATAGCATCTACAGTGCAGTACAGGCCTTACGGATACGAGGTCTATAAGTCTATATATATATATATATGTGCATCTATGTTTTTAAGAAAGATGTACTTCATATTTATACAGATCTTATGCGTAGAAGCCCTAAACCCTAAACCCTATATCCCACTGCTCTTCTCTTCCGAAGGCCCCGGGTCTTACCAGGGGGACCAGGCAGACGGCGAGCCCGGCTAGCCCCGTTTCCTGGCGGAGTTCCGGATTTGCGGGGGTTCAGGATTTTGGTGGATTTAGGGTTTAGGGTTTGTCGTTTAGTTTAGGGTCTAGGGTTCAGGGTTTGGGGTTTAGGGTTTGGGGTTTCGGGCCACCAAACCCTAACAGGCATAAAGCCTAGTCCCTATCTCAACCCATTCTTGCGTCCAGGACCGCCATGGACCCACTGACCGAGAGTCGAGAGTAGGCCCTTTGGGGTTTAGGTTCCCTTAAGCGGCCCTTCAAGCCAAAAAGGGTACCTTTGTATTCCAAGGCTACCTGTTAAGAACCCAAAACCGACATTTTTTGTAGGCTGCCGAAGAATCCCTATGAGGGTTTTGTAGCAAGAACCTACATAAAAGGTTGGGTTTCGGGTTCTTGAGGTACTCTTCTGTCTGGCATACCAATGAGCTTTGGGCTTTTCGGATCGAGGGTTTACGCGGCTCAGGTTCTCATTTTGCCACAAGACTTCGAGGCACCGGCCTCCAAAAAGAAACGCATACTCAAAAGAAGAACTGCAAAATACACAAGAAACATTAAGCAAAAAACAAGACAAAGACAAAACAACCCACAACTGGGGTCTAGGTTGCGGTTCATCTGACTGGGGTACTCGTTGGGGAGCCTTTCGGGTACAACCTTTTGGGAGATACCTTGATTTCTGGTTTCTGGTGTACTTTGGGGGCTGGCTACAAACAATCCTGCATCCTAACTACTATTTGCTTTTCAACCCCCCCCCCCCCCTTCAAAAAAACTCACTAATTAAACCCCTAAACCCCTTACATCTTAACCCTCAACCCCCTAAACCCTAAACCCTAAACCCTACTTTCGAAACCCCCCCGAAGCCCTGGAGCCTGAGGTGTCTGGGGCGGAAGACCCGAGAAGTGCAGAGCTCCACGAAGGCACCGGTTTAGGGTTCAGGGTTCAGGGTTTTAGGGTTTGGGGTTTAGGGTTTGGGTTTGGGGTTTAGTTTAGGGTTTGGGGTTTGGGGTTTAGGGTTTAGTTTATACGGTTCCCCTTTTGAAACCCCTGCAACCCGAGCCGAAAGAGGCGCCTGGCCGTGGCGGGCAACAGCGCCCAGACGGCAGACGGCGAAGGCGGCCTCCCTAAGCCAAAACCCCTAAACCCCAAACCCTGAAAACCCTAAGCCCTAAACCCTGAACCCCAAACCCTAAGCCTAAACCCCAAACCTTAACCCCAACCCGTAAACCTTAAACCCCAAACCCTTACCCCAAGCCCTAAACCCCAGCTCTAAACCCCCAAACCGTAAGCCCTAAACTCTAATTCAGGTTTGTGCCTTCGTTTGGGTCTCCCATTAAAACACCTGGTCTGATGCTCGCTAGCATGATGCTTGGAGGTTCTGGGTACTTACACAATAACCCAATTTATGTCGTTAGGGATACTTGGGATTTTTGTACAGTAATTTCGAAGAAACAGCTAACATTTTGCTAGGTTCTAAGTTCAGTATAGTTTAACTGTACTTAGAACCTGCGGGGGAGGTGGGGACTCCGGCTGCCGGGGGGGGGGGGGGGAGATAATAATAATTCATCTTCGCCCGACCGTGAGCCAGCAGTGAGGCAATAAACCCTAAACCCTAAACCCTAAACTGTGGCAGCAAAGTACATGTCGCTGGAAGGCATCAAGGTCTCATCGACGGAGGTGCCACCCACTGTTTGAGGTATGCGAGCCCGAGCGAGTTTGCGCAAGCAATAATGCCGGTGGATGTTGAACTTGCCACGGGAACTACAGCAGACCTGAGGATCAATGCGGTGGGGACCTTGTTGTCGGCAGATCCCGCCGTACAGCCGATACTGTCGATGGGGATTGTAGCAGCCATGGGCCTTCGATGCGTCATTGAGTGGAACATCATTCCAACCAAATTACTTCTTAATTACTATACTCACCATTCTTGTTCTGGTTACTACTATTGTGCTTCTTATTACACTCACTATTCTTGCTGTTTTGTTCGGTTATTATTGTTGTCGTTCTTGTTCTTGTTATTGTTATTTTTTATTTTGAGTGCTGTTATTATTGTTGTGTTTTTTGTTCCTTTTGGCCTTACTAGTAAGGGTTTTGATTCTCATCATTTTCGTTCGAAAGTCCTAACCTCGGAGCCCAAGACCCGTATTAGGACGAAAGGCTTTCGGCCTGGGGGGTTCCGGTGGTTGGTGTTGGGTTTTGGGTTTAGGGTTAAGGGTTAAGGGTTACCGGAATTACCCTTCAAAGCAAAGGAAGGCTGCACCCTGAAAGCCCTATAAACCCATAATCCCGATACAAAAACCCATAAGCCCTCTACATTGGGATGTCTCTCCTATACTGACAGTCCTTAACAGGCCCCTAAAAAAAGTCCCTCTTCCGGAGTGTTGGTATAAGGGGGAACCTCCCAACCTATGAACCTTGTGGAGCCCTGAATTTTCTCTCAACCCACAAAACCCTGTAACACCCCATAAACCCCATACACCCTATAAACCCTATGAGCCCTACTCACCCATAATATGCCCATTCAACGATGTAATCCCTAAAGCCCTATAAACCCCAGAATGCCTTTCAACCCTGTAAACCTATAAGCCCTCTAAACCCATAACCCCCCTAAGCCTTAAGCTCATAAACCCTGTCAATCCTGTCAGCCCTATAGCCCCAAACCCTAAACCCTAACTTGCGGAACCTTTTGGCCCTAAACCCTAAAGCCTACACCCCAAACTCTAAACTCTAAACTCTAAACCCTAAACCCTAAACCCTAACCCTAAACCCCCCACGGTTGGCGTAGAAAGGCGAAGCCGATGGCAGCGGCGGCGCAGATCGGGTGCCCCAGGGGCCATCGCACACCGGCGGGGCACAGACCTTTTTTTGTTTACCATGTTGGTGGAGGGTTTCTAGGGTTTAGGGTTTAGGGTTTAGGGTTTTGGGCTTTTGTTGTGGGCCTTGTGTATTTTCGGGGGTAAGGTCTTAGAATCCCAAGCCTTGGTTTCAAATGGTCCCAGCCCAGAAAAACCCTCAACCCTCGGACCCTGAAGCCCTAAAGCCCCAAACCTTAATCCGCGAAATCAAAAGGCACCAAAACCGTGAAACCCCAAGCCCCCAAAATGGCCATTTGCCCAAATCCGTAAACCCTACAGCCTCGACAGCCCAAAACTCAACAACCCCCCCCCCCCCCCCCAGCGTTTAGGATTAGTATGGTTTGGGGTTTGGGGTTAAGGGTTTAAGGTTTAGGGTTTAGGGAACCCTGAGCTACCCCCCAAACTACAAAGTCCAAACTGAAAGCCGAGACCCCCACGAGCAGAACCCGCTTGAACACTAGGGTTCAGGATGTATAGGGTCCCAACAGCATGAAAGTCCGACAGTCAACTGGAGCGGAATTTCCTCGCCTCCTCAACATACTCTGAATAAGGTCCTTTAAGGCCTTGGGCCCTTGCAAAGGGCTCCCCAGGACCCGGATTTCCAAACCCTACGTGCACCGCAAACCCTTGCAACGTTTTGGGCTCCCTAAGGCCTAACACCTAAACACCCAAAAAGCCTAAACCCCTAAAGCCTTAAGGCCCTAACGCCTAAAACCGCAAAACCCTGAAAGACGAAAACATGGGATGTTCCCCCTTATACTAACAGTCCTAAATGGGATCATAGTACCCCCTAGTATAATCCCTGTTAAGGACTGTTAGTATAAGGGGGAACATCCCAACCTTAAACCCTCAACCCTAAGCCCTAAACCCTCAACCTCCTAAATCCTAAACCCTAAACCCTAAACCCTAAACCCTAAACCCTAAACCCTAGGCTGTCCGAGACCTCGTCCTCCAGCGTGCCCCGAGTTCCTCGCAGCTGGGAGCAGCGAGCCGAGGTCGGCCGCAGGGCGCCTCGGCTTGGCTTTGGCTTTTTAGGATGTAGTAGGGTTTAGGGTTTAGGGTTTGGGGTTTAGGGTTTAGGGTTTAGGGTCTTACGGTTTTCCGGTCTTAATCGGATTACCCCCAATTTGCGTCTCTTTTCATTCTACTTACAACCTGCTTGTAGGTGGGGGGGGGGGAGGGGGTTAGGGGTTAGGGTTTAGGGGGCACTCAAACCCTAAACCCCTCCTTGTCATGTAAGCCTCCCCAAGCCACCGATTACAGGGAGGCCCTAAACCATAACCCCAAACCCTAAACCTAAACCCCACCCCCACCCAAAGGCCCTTTTCCAGGCTTTCCACCGGCAGTACAGTGACAAAGTCTTTGGCCCGACGGAGTCGGACTCAAGCCAGGACCCCTTTTTAGGGTTTCGGTTTCGGGGTGTAGGGGTTTGGGTGTTTCGGGGTTTAGGGTTTAGGGGTTCGGGTTTCGGGTTTAGGCGTTGGGGGGTTTATGCAAGACGTCTGCGGACCATCCAAGCGAGAAGCACGCCAAGATGCTTAACAGGGCGACATACAACATTAATTACAGTTTTTTGCATTGCGCCGTTTGCGCACTGCTCTTGTCAGCTTTGTATAACAATCAATTCCAGACCGCAGGGGGGATTAAGGGTTTAGGGTTTGCCTCCGTTAGCTGGCAAGGCCTTTGGGAAGTACGTTTTCCTTACTGGGTTTTACCTAGGTACCTACCCCCCATGAACGCCCTCCCTCAAGAACCCTAGAACGAATACAGGAGCCTTTTGGATCCTGAGCTAGAAGGTTCGGAGTGCGCATTTAGGGT